ACACCTTTTGAAAAGATATGCATTGTTTATGACCGATGCATAATAGGTCATTTTTGGCCATTTTTGAGCAAAAAGCATCGACTATAGCCCATGGTTTTGATGGATTTTGGGTCATTTTCACACCTTTTGAAAAAACATGAATTATTTATGAAAGTTGAAAAATGGTTGTTTTTGTCCAAAAAGCATGGACTATGGCCCATGGTATTCACCGATTTTGGGTCATTTTCACACCTTTTGAAAAAACATGAACTATTTATGAAAGTTGAAAAATGGGTGTTTTTGTCCAAAAAGCATGGACTATAGCCCATGGTTTTCACCGATTTTTGGTCATTTTCACACCTTATATGCCATGGATTTGATCATTAAAATTATGCTGATGTTAAAGTTGGATTGGAAATTTTAACATTACTAAATTGATTTGAATTTTATTCAATATATATATTATTTGCTTTTATAAATTCTAGTGTTAGTTATGTTGGAATCTTTTAAAGATTATAAAACAGGAATTCGGGTTGATTTTAAAKGAAATTTTTCCAACTTCACAAAATGCTCAACCTAAATTTTTGTAATTTTTGCTTTCCTTTATCTACATATGCCTGTCTCTGTTGTGCTACGACTAGACCTTATGTCTTGACTTCGTTGTGTTTTTCTTTGTTGTTTTCGTTTTTTTCTTCCCAACATGCTTCATTAAATTTTCATGCGATCTCTTTAGAAGACTGGTAAGTAAATAATAAGAAAATGAAAAAAAAAAAAAGAAGAAGAAGAAAATAATAATAATAATTTTATTTGTTGGTTTATGTTGTCACAAGCTTTTTGTCGTCATAGCAGAGGCGGTTTGATCACAGAAATGACGTCACAATGACGTGAAAAATCAAGCTGACGTCACACAGACGCCATTACGTAATGATGTCGTGATGAAATTAGTTGATAATGACATCGCAAATGAAGCCGTTTTCAGAGCTGTGCAATTTAGTAATGACATAAAAAATCAAAGCACTCTACTAATTTATAAAGAAAAGGCACACATTTTATTTTGAAATATAAAATATCGTTAATCAAATTTTCATTAAAGTTTCAGTTTAATAACAATGGGGCCTTCTTAAAATCGTCTTGAATGCAAGGAACATGAAAATACGAAAAAAATCCCACRAATTCCATCGAGAARAGTGTGATTTCTTTTGTGTTTTCATGTTAGCCTGACCCTCAAGATAATTTTGAGAAGGGTCATTTGCGAATCAAGTATAAAAGAGCATACGTTATTACGAAAAACTAAATTCATTGTCTGTATCTGATGTGATATTCAAATTGGCGGTAAAAGTCAYGTGACATTTGAGATTTTTTTTTGGTTGTCTATAATTTTCCCATTCTTTTTCGTAAGTTTTTTGTATTATTTTGTTTGGTCTTTCTGTCTTTTTCTACTTGTCCCTTTTTGAAGTAGTTCGTGTCGAGAGATTGCGTCACTTTGTATGTATATTGTCCGTCGTCACTAGAATTAAATCAAAAATATTCATTGATACCAAACATATTCATATTATCATATGTACCGTTTTTGGATAGTCGAGGGCGCCAAAATAGRCAGGGAAGTTTCCAAAAAGGCATTGAAACTAAGAGAGCGTTCATTTTTTAAGGGTATTATTACCCCTTCCTAAATCCTACCAGTCCCCCCTCCCCTCCCCCCTATCTGTAAAAAAATGAACGGTCCCTAAGAAACCACATAGACCGTCACCCCACCCCCTACTATCTTCATACCGTACGTRCTCTGGTTAATTTGATGTACTTACTCGCTGGACGTGGAATGACAAGTACCGCAGGATCTCTTGCACATCATATTGATGGTACCGATGCCGGTTGTGGGAGCATATTCACTACAGTACCCCTGTAAGGCATACTGCTCACATTCATCAGCGTAATCTTTGCATTCTATAGATGATCATAAGACAAAAAGAGTTAGAAGAGGAGAGGGAACTAGGGATTGACCGTACCCTCTTGCCCGAAGAGAGGTGGGGAGGGAGGGGGGTGGGGGTAGTCATTTTAAGGGGAACTTTTTATGTTTAAAATGAATATTTCCATTAGAACAAAACAATTCTTAACATTTTCGTTAAAGAGTGGAGGTTTTATGGATGCGTGATGGCAGCCATGACAGGCGATAGGGGTAATAGAGCGTTTCACTCACGTGACAATGCAGCCATATTGGTGTACCAAACAGGAAAAATCTTTCTGAACAGTTTTGCATAAAAATAGAGCTCAATTCCCCGAGGATAGAAAATTAATTGTTTTGGTACACCAACATGGCCGCTGTGACGTCACATGGAAACCCTCTATTGAATCTGATCTTATCTAATTTTACACGAGAAAGAATTCAGTTTCCCAGGGGGAAAATCAAAAGGTCAGTCACCCTACCCTCCGTATCCACGGACACGTGACTTGCATCGTATTTATATTCCGAATAGTTCTTTTCCTCTTCTTTCAAGTTGTCGTTAAAAAATCGATTACTGGAATCATCCTGAGCCATATCCATGTCATTATAATTTGTCTTCCAATTGATACCATCATCTGCACCCTTAAGCTCGTCGCTATGGAACCTCGGTAGCTCGTGATGTACTTGGAGATGATTTCCCTCTATCGTAGAAGACGAGTGTGACCCCTGTGCTTTGGTGTCATCAGAATCATCAGTCTCGCTACTCTCAGACAAGTTCAAAGAATCATTTGAGTGGCTTGGATCATCRTTAAATGGGTCTTTGCTCTCTTCAGGATCGGCTTCCGTGTTCAAGTTAGTTGATAGTAATGGTTTTTTGATGAAGTCAGGGTTGTCTGCCTCCAGTTTTGCCGGTTTGGCCATGGGGAGCTTGCTCCCATGATAGTGTTCACGTCGGAAGATGTCTGAGTGAAACTCATCTGGACAATAGTCACACATGTCTGTTTGACCTTCAATAGAGAAATACAAGCACTAAAAGAATGACTATTGGAGTAATTGGAATAACAAAATTGAGGCAGGGGAAATTATTAATGAAATAATAATTACTAATTACTAATTAAATAATAGTTAAATAATAGTTAATAAAGATTGTAAGACCTACCAGCAAACAGCAAAAAGACTAATCAAGGTGGGAGGAGTGAATGAATGGAAGGATGGGAGGGAGAAAAAATGGGAAAAAGATAGGGTCCTTCACGAATTTGCGAGATGTGATCCTATTGGAKGGCACACATGTGTAGAACAATAGAAAACAATGACCTTTCCCCAACCCCGCCCCTAAACCTGACCAATCACAGGGGATGTTGCAAATTCGTGAATCGTGAAGCTTAACCCGAAAGGTAAGAAATTGAAAGAAGAGAATAACCAAGAGAACGTCTCATTTCCTCTTGTCCTCAATTTGAATTCAACTTCGATCTTACCTTCGAAACATGGATGGCAGAAATGAACAGATATACCTAAAAAGAAAGCAACAATTATATAAATGGAACTCGGTGTATGTAAAGTTTGTTTTCCTCGTGTCATCCAACATGGATGACGTCACGTGATTGAACAACCATATATTTTTAAGAGTGTCGTTATTTTTGATAAAGCATGCTGTGACTAAGCATTTTGATTGGCTAAGCAGTAATCTTGCGCGCCGTGATTGGTTCATAAGATGTCGCCGTGACCGTACCATGTATCGTGCCGTTTGATAGTCAAGCAAAATCTCCTAGATTTTCTTTCTTTTTTTTTTTTTTTTTTTTTTTTGGTTTAATTTTAATTTTAATTTTTTTTACTTAAAAGTAGTTATAAAAGGCCGAGATTTAAAAAATCTAGGAATCAATCGTACCTTTAAGAATTTTAGTAACCACGTTCTGTGCAATATAACCAAGCTGAGTCGTGGAGGCGCCAAATATGTGTTCTGAATGAGGAAAACTAGCCATAGCATGTAGCTGTAGCTTACTATACGAACTCCCAACACCAACACAGTATATATCAATCCCCAATGACCGCAGCTCCATTGCTGGGGATATGACGTCATCAAGAGAGCGTCCTGCCGCTACTACGATTAACGCATGAGGAACACGTGGTCTGCCAGTTTCTTCGAATAAATAGTGCCTTGTCACGTGGAGGCCACGCCCTATGTAGGTACCAGGCCCGTCAGTACCTGGGTACTGGACAGTGTTAAGCGCCTGTAGGATATTCGACTTGTCGTAGTAAGTGTGGAAGTTGAAGATGGCAAAAGATTCCAAGGAGAAGAGGACGACTCCCACACGGGTTAGATGTGCGCCGACTGAGAAGGACTGCACGACATTCCAGACGAAATTGAGTATCTGCTTGAAGTTTCCTTCACCACCAACTGCCATTGAGCCGTCGATGAGGAAAGCGAGGTCCATACAAACTAATAATAAAAGCAACAACAAATCARTTTGCTGCAGCACTAGTTTGAGAACGCCTTCTCAGTTTCTGAAACCCCACAGGGATTTTGTGTCCTCCGTTGATAAAAAAAGAGACCCTTATCAATTTATTGGACGACAAATATGAAAAATTTTGCCGTTTTTTGAGTTTGTTTTCGTCGCAGAAAACGTTAAAAGTGTTCCAAACCTCTTATGAATTTATACTTTTTTCAAAAATTGGCGTATCTACGAACAAGCAAATCCCTGCGCATGCGTAATAGGTTGCTGTYACGCAACTTACGCAACAACCATCGACAGTGTTTGGGTTTACTATGTGTATCACTTCTGTTAGTAAAAAAATGGTCAAGAGAACTAAAAAGGTCATGTATTAGAAGCAAGCAATGAAAACAGGTATCTTACCATGCATTCCACTGGTGCCTCCTGATATCCCAATATTCGCGCCTCCTCCACCTCCACCACCGATTCCRATACCGCCTCCTCCTAAAACATCARTCATAMAATCAATTGAGAGAAGAGTTATATTCCAATCATTGCACTTGGTTTGGAATACAATATGACAGATTTTTTAGCCCTGGCGTAATTTGTTTCCCATTTCAGACCACGTGTCATTGTCTAGAGTATCATTTCTTTGTTTAACGGTTGCGCATGAGAAGACACATGAATATGGATACAACTCAAACAGAATCTTCTTCTCAAGAGAATGACATGTGGTCTGAAAYAGGAAAACATTAGGCTTATGGTAAAGAGATTAAATAAGGCGTCAAATTATCATTRTTTCATTATTTTATCAATTATACTTTAAAGAAAAGCGATCATGCGAGCTACATGCTTAACCATTATCATTCATAGCTCTATTATAGTCGTGTAGCTTTAAAAACATCTTTAAGAAAGTTTTTAAAAATACTACATCTTTTTTTGATAATTGCTAACGTCTTTGCTTGATGTTGTTAAAACATGACACGCGGCATCTTATGCTCATCTCATTTATTTGCTTTCATTTATGTATTGCAGTTAAATGCCAATTAAAAGTAGTTGTTTGTCGTCTTTCATGCAATTGTCAGCATGCATTTGTAAAGTGCATGCAAAGTATTAAGTCAATGCTATATTCTAATCATGCAACAGTTGTGAGCGTGCTTTATAAATCATGCAGATTTTGTTCCCCTCAAGGTAACACTTTAGATGTCGCATCATGTATGGAGCATGCAATCCTAACCATACCAAATGAAATAAAACGATGCAACGAACTCCTCTCCACTCAGGGTTTGCTCCTCCTATTTAAGAAAATGCATGTGGTTCATCGTTTTTCTTTTTTAGGATCATGCATTAGTCAAACAAAGTACATGCATACTTGCAGTCATCATGCAACGCCATTATGCATCGCTTCACTACACCATAAAGGTCRTGCTTCTCTTGAGGATCATGCAATTCCTGCGATGCCAAATAATATGGATGCAAAAATCCTGCCACAGCATCATGCACCAGTTAGTTCATTATAACATGAATTAAAGTCGTGCTTCTGTCAAGGAACATGCAGCTACTGCTATTGCAAATGACATGCAGACATCATGCCACATCATCATTCATCAGTGTACTTCACCACGAAGGTTGTACGTCCTCTCAAAGAGCATGATATCATTGCGGTACCAAATGACATGCAGACATGCAGACATCATGCCACATCATCATTCATCAGTGTACTTCACCATGAAGGTTGTACGTCCTCTCAAAGAGCATGATATCATTGCGGTACCAAATGACATGCAGACATGCAGACATCATGCCACAACATCATTCATCAGTGCACTACACCATGAAGRTCGTGCTACTCTCAAGGAGCATGCATCTACTGCGGTACCAAATGACATACGCACATGCAGACATCTGGACTCCAGAATCTGGACACCATGYATATCTTACCCGGAGGTTCTTGCGTTGAAGGCTCAGTTGGTTGTACTGATGGCACTGCTGTTTMTGGTGGTCCTGGATGCATGGGTGGTTCTGGGTGTACCTGGGGCCCGAGTGGTTCTGGGTGTATCGGGGGCTCGGGGGTTTCTGGGTGTATCGATGGCCCGGGTGGACCTGGAGGTAATGGTGGCTCCGGTGGTGACGTAGGCCTAGGGGGTTCGGGTGGTCCTGRATTTCCCTCAGGATCCGGTGAAGTCCCAACTGCTTCAATAGTCCCAGGAGGTGACTCGACACCCAACCCAGTCTCCTGYGTAGTCACCCCACCATCACTGGAAGAACCTCCAGTATCATGCAGCCGTTTAGGAAGCCATTTCAAGTGATTTAGATATTGACCCATAGATGTATTCCTCGTTGGACCAGGTTTAGGGATAAGACCTTGATTCCCAAGTGGATTGGTAGTATAATTCTTAAGATTCCACGCCGGACTCTTTCTATGTTCCAGAAGGATTTTTCTGTTAGTAAATTTATCATTAGTTACATGAGTGTCCTGAGTTCCTGGGACTTTATTTTGGAACATCTCTTTGATTTTACTGTCAACGTAGTTCTTCAAAAAACCTTTCAAATTCTCCTCCATATCTGACATCACCTTTTTACTGTCCTTGGAAGTTTTGTTAAGGAAGTTGAGTCTATGTGATGATTTGTTTAGAGGCTTTAAATGGTTGTTTGGAAGTTGATCATTCACAAGAATTTGTACCAAATGGTGAGGTCTTGAAATATTGATAGACTTTGTCGAAGTGTTTTGGAAGTCATAGAAGTTAGTATAGTTGTTTTCCTGCCTCGGATTGTTGAAATTTTCGTCGTACGAAGATATAAGATTAATTGTCAATGTATCAGCAGAATGTTTTGGCAAGTCGTTATTTTTGTTTGTATGAAGAGCATTAGTGTCGTATGACATTCCATTAGTGATATTTTTCAAGGTAAACGGTTTTTCTTGATTGTCTAGAGAAAGATTCCCAGTTTTACTGCCATTGAGTTCAGTAACATTTTCACTCTTATCTTCCTTATCAGCCTCATCCGCATCTTCGTGGTCATCTTCAGTTTCGTCTTCATCTTGAAAAGCGTCAGACTTTTTCTTGGAGTTCGATAGCTTTAGTTCACCTTTCCTATAGAAGGCACCATCAAGCTTTGTTTTCACTTCCCGAAACTTATGGGGGGAATCCTTGCTGGACGATTTACTAAACTTATTGGATACAGCTGCAGGAACAATTTTACTTTGAGAAGAATCTTTATAATCTGGATAACTTTCTTGTGGGTTATCTTGAAAGTATTTCGATTTGCCATCAACGTTCCTGCCATTTTCCCAAATCATGTATTCTTTCAAGTTATCATCAATTAATTTCTCATTTAATTGAAAACCTTCTTTCAAGGCGTCAGCTTTGTCATTAACCATATCTTTAACCTGATTATGGATGGCAGATTGGTTGGCCGTTGAGGAAGATGTTGGGAATATTTTCCCATATATTTGAGAGGCAGCAGGATCAAAATAAGGCGTTCTTTTGGTTTGTGAGTTATTTTCTAAACTAGAGTGAAAGGACTTGTTTTGAATCGAAGGTATGTCTCTACCTCTGTCCTTAATTTTGAGTGGTAGAGGAGTTTGGCCTAGACCAAATTTGAAATCGAGAATTTCGTTTCCCTTTTCACTCTTTTCTTGCTTTCTTTTGTGCAGTTTAACTTTTCCATTCCTAATATTTTTCTTGTAATTTTCTTTCCAAAAGTTGTTCACCAAATTTCTTTGTGTATCGTAAGATGGGGTGTCTTTATCGCTATGTAAAGCACCCGGATGTACTAACGAACCAATCAAATGCTGCGGTTTTCTCATGTCAATTTGAGTCTCCACCAATGAGTTTACAGCATCTTTTGGACGCTTTCTAACTGTAATTTTGAACACTGTGTACCTCTGGCTGCCCGGCACAACTGGTTTGCCAACTGGCTTAACCGGTTTACCAAGTTGAACAGGTTTAACTAGTTCCACTGCATTAGTGTATTTTACTTGTTCAAATGGTTTGATGATGGCCGCTTTCTTCAGATAAGACCGTCTGGAGTCGATGTGTTTTGTTTTCAAGTTTTCCTTCATGTTTTCGTCAGCCTGTCGCGTAACACGTTTTTCGTTGTTATTTCGTCTGTTTAATTTCATGGTTGCTATATGCATGTCGTAAAGGTCATAGGTCAGTATAGTGGTTCAAATTGATATAATAAGCTAACTAAAAAGTTATATTAGAGGGGTTTTGGTATGAGTGGGGAACGTCATGTCATACCTTGTACGTGCTATAAGTCAATACTGACCCTAGATTTGTCACTCATACGATAACCATTCTTATGGGAAGCCATTTCGATATTACGGCATGCTGTACTATGCTTTGCTGTGAGTCAGTACTGTATGTTTCCCACTCATACGATAACCACTCTATCTAGAGAAACTCAACTTTTGCATGAAAACATAGTAAGTTTAATATTTTAGAATTATATTGTACTTTATATTTAACACATTACGAAAGCTACAAAGCTACAACAGCAGCAGCAGCAGAAACAGTATAAACAATAAGTATAGTAATAACCTACGTTGTTAATTAGATTATTTTAACTGAGAACACTGTTAAGTCTAAATTTAGGGTTATTGGTTAATATTTTCATGTGAAATACTGATAAGCCGCATACTTCTGGGAATACCACCCCAAACTTACCGGAAATTCGAATACCCGTTCCATATCCAATGCTACTTTGAACCACTTGACCTTGACTTGGCACCATTTGACCTTGGCCTTGAGAGACAGCTAGATTCATTTGACCTTGGGGACTAAGTAGTCCTTGGCTTTGAAGGCTAGACAGCAGTTGTTGTCCCTCTGGGCTACCTTTGATAGATGTCATGCTCGCTTGGCCTCCAGGTGATACACCAAACTCATTCGTCTGGACTCTAGATAGTACGTTTTGACCATCTGGGCTTAAAAGTCCTTGGTTCTGGAGACTAGTCATGATGGCTTGTCCACTCGGGGTCTTCTGGAGTTCTTGCACAACACTCGCACCAGGTTGTGAAATACCAGTGGTATCAACGCTCGTTCCTGGTAAAGTACCTACAGTGGTCACTCCAGGTTGGCCAGGAATAGTAACACCTGAACTGACGACTTTTCCACTGCTGTCAACAGCCATTCCTGGTAAAGTACCTCCGGTGGTCACTCCAGATTGACCAGGAATAGTACCTCCTGAACTGACGACTTTTCCACTGCTGTCAACGGCCGTTCCTGGTAAAGTACCTCCAGTGGTTACTCCAGGTTGAC